AATTTTCTGAACTTTCGTGTTGCTTTAAGAGAGAAACAGGAAGGGGAGAAGGGAGAGAGAACGGGTGCTCACCTGAAAAGATCCTCGAGGGGCGTGATGGAGGCCGACTCGCCGCCGTAGTACTTGTTGCGATCGATGTGAAGCACTCGTTTACCGCTGACAGACAGCATGCCCGAGAGGATGCACTCCTTTAGGCCGGTGCCGAGGACGATCGCATCGTACTCTTCATTCATGTTTGCGCCGGGGTGAAGAAGCCGAGAGAAAAGAGAAAGACAGAGAGAGAGAGAGAGACGAGAGCGGTGCTCGATTAAACGGCGATCGCTTGAACGCCCTGAAGTCTGCTACTACTGGCGAACTCGCCGTTTCTTTCCCTCGCGATGTAGCTCTTCTTTCACCCTAGAATTCTCTCTCGCTTGTCGCGTGTCCCTGCGACGACGCGCGATCAAAAAGACGCTGCCTGGCGCGGTTACTACGTGACACGACACGACACGGCACGACACTGCACGGCGTGGCGCGCGGAGCGGAAGGAAGACCGAGCTCTTTCTCGCTCTGTCGACGATGACGGCGACGATAACGACGACGACGACGACGGCGGCGGCGGTGACGGTGACGGCGACGGCGATGGCGGTGGCGCGGCGGTGACGTCGACTTTTCCCCTAGATTTGCGTGTCACGCCGACGCATTGCGAAGCGGCTCTAAAGAGAGCCTGAAGCCTTTATTTAATCCGCGCGATCGATAAACGTAGGATTACTGAACTTGTTTTTTATTGCAATTTAAAAAAATATATTTTTTATGATTTATATTTTAAATCCTCTTTTATCGATAAAAGTGTCTCTAAAAGTTTTTAAGCCATTTTTAGAAACACTTTTATCAATAAAAGAGAATTCAGAATATGAGTCTATATGTATATTATTTGAAACGTTATATGAATAAACTCGAATTATAAAACAATTAACGTGTAAATAAAATAACATAACTTTTTTCTAAAAGGAAATATGTGTAATTAATATTTTTCATAATGAATAAACAACTTTTGATCATAAATATTTCTCGACCGCAAGAAAAGAACTTGTAATTTATAGAAAGATTTTGAATTATGTTGAGTATCGAATGTATAATTTAAAAATATATAAAATATAAAAAAGTTAATAAAAAATTAATTATACGCATCAAATTAATAATTTTAAAACAAAATTTAAATTCTAGATATATTATTTGGCATTTTAATATTAACAATACATTGTTTCTCTGTATAAGAATTAATGGAAATTTAAAATTAAATAATTTTCAAACCGTTAAATTTTTGCTTAGCTTGTATAAATAGTTAGAATAATGACAGAATAATGTATATAATTTGAATGTATATCTTTTTGATAATGTTTTGATATGTACATAATGTTTTGATATGTAATACATAATGTTTTGATATGTAATACATTCTTAATATATATTCTTAATTACAATGACTTTTATGGACGGAAAGGTATTATGGAAAAGGGAATTACGCAAGATAAGAAAAATCAGAATATCATCCGCAATTAATTACTGCGATAACGAGCTTTTTTTCAGTTATTTATAATGAAAAAGTGAAGAAAAGGAAGATTTATTCTGTCTGAAAATTTATGATGCTTATCATATTATCTATTAGCATTGCATATCGCGAACTAAATTTACTTAATTTAACAGTCAGCTATCAAGGTGTATAAATTCGTTACATCATAATTGTAATTGTTATATATCTTACTTAAAAAAGATACTCTCGCAAATCTATGATTAACTGAAAAAATTAAACGGTATAATAAAAAAAATATTATTTAGAAGAAAAGAGTGATGCTTGCGGAATTTTGTCAAAAGGTATAATACATTTAATAATAAGTAATCCTTTATTATATATTAATATGTAGGATTATAATTTTTTACTGCATAGATAATATAGATAAGGATAGATAAGCGACTAACATTGGGTTCGACTCCAACCAATCAAATTTCGAGTTAAATGTCATTTTTGACGAACGCGGCTTGCGCTTTTTAGTGATATTTCGCATCTACATCGTTCCCTAGGGCCGTTTCGTCCGTCGTATTGCCCGTTCTGTGATTCGCGTCGCTAGATGTCGCTAAGTTCACGGTAATTCACAAGCTCTCGGCTGAGCTCGGCACGCTGGTTGGTGCGGACGTCAGTACGTGCACAAACGATAGAGTGGAATAGGTGTTTTCGTCGGTCATCCGGGCCGTCGAACTTAACGGAGCGACGTCTGACGCGATCGCGCTTATCAGTCGCGGCAAATTGGCCGCG